TGTTTTAAAAATAACTACTCATGTATTTATTATGTGTGTGAACTTTTGGCAGGAAAATTATCGCATCGGAGCTTGCAAAGTCTGATGTAAGTAGAGTGACCTGCTTTTAAAGAGCGCTTTTCCTCTCCACTGTCACTGCATGCATGCTTGGTATGAGGGATTGATGCAAAAACACTATGCATGCAAATGTCCACTGTCGGCACAAGTTCATCTAGGGGAGGTGAATTCTGCATAATCAGAGACTGGATGCAAACTTTTAAGGTTTCTTAAGGAAACTTTTAACCAGTTTGATTGAATGGACTTATTGAGTTGTCTCTGAAAAGTGCCTTGAGATGACGTGAGCTTTTTAACAGAAGTTGTGTGGGTGAGAAGAACCTCTGACACATAATGGTTAACTCAGACTAGTTCATGCAAATGTTTTTCTCCTGCAAACAGGAAAAAAAGGTGAATGATTGCTGAAGGTAAGTAAAAATTAGCCCCATGTTGTTATGCACACTCAATGTGAAAGTGAAGCCAAATATCCCCCCTCCTCACCCTGTAACAGCTGTTTGACGTGCTCAGCTTCTCAATATGGCATTTAATAGATACAAAAGCACTGAGCATGAGAATCGTGCAGCGGCTCGTGTCTGGCTCGCCACAAAAAAAGCTCAGCGTTAGTTTCAGTGTTCTGAACTGTGAGTCACATTTCCCAGTGATGAAACAAACCAGCTGAATAAGAAGAACAACAGGATGTGGGTGAAGGGAAGGGCAACCGGCCAGCTCTATGGGCCAATAAGGCAGAGGCCCACAAGTTTGAAATAAAGGAAGCTTAAAAACAGAGCAACACACGACGACGAGTTATCTCTTAGTCTGTTGTGTGTATTCTCAGCAGGTTGAAATGAAAACATCCTCAGCATGCAGTGACATAAATAAACTGTGATCGAGGCAAAGTGCAGATAGCACCTGTTCCTCGAAAAAATAAAATTCTCATAAGCAAAGTTCATTTCTGCACGCCCACGAGCCCCACCCATGCTTTACAACCACACCGGGCTGCATGCTTTGCTTGACGGGTTGATTTACTGGCTGTTTGTCAGTTTACCGTCGGCCCCTGCAGACAGCTGGCCTCAGCAGCTTGGTGTTTGCAGGTGACAGCAAGGCTACAGATTATTGCACCAGGTTCACCTTTTGATCATCTCACAGTGGCCTGTGGAACTTTTCAATTGAGGAAAAATTCTGGAAAAAACAGCTGGAGCCAACATTAATAGCAGAATCAATTGAATAGAACCCGCCTGACTACTGGAAGTAGGCTAATATATTTAAAAGAGGAACACTTTAGAATCTAATCCAATCAAATTCAACAACAGATTAGAAAAAGATGAGAATTTTACTTACATTTCATTCAGTTTTTAAATATGTAGCACAAATTCACAACACTTGTCAAGGCTTTACTGAGACAATTCAACCACACCATACTGTCAGAGTGGTTAAAAGTTTTCTTTCTAAGGAAAACCAGCTGATTGCATCCAGTGATTGACTTGCAGGACACATTACTCCAAGATTAGCATGTGGTGACAATATTTGCTAGTATTTTGTCGCTGACCCTACAGTGATCCCTCACACTGAGTATTCATGCACAGACAGTGAAGTGAAAAAACCTCCCTTATTACAGGAAGAAACCAGCAGAACTAGGCTCAGTGTGAGCGGCCTCCTACTGAGGCGGACTGGTGTTCAAGACGAGAGAAGAAGTTGTACAAAAAGAAGACAGAAGCACTGATCTATGAATACTTTCTATGTTAAAAAAGGTAAAGTTAAACTAGTTCTGTCTATGAAAGGAATGGTTAAACCAATGAGGGCTGAGATCATTTTCACATCAAAAGATCACAGTAAAAGCTGAGCCCATAGCTATGTCTAGGTGAGAAACAGGACTAAGCACCATTAAAAAGGCCCAACTCTATCATTTATAATCGAGATAATCCATTAGTCTAGAAATAAAAAAATTATCCTTAAAGCTTTAGGTCTCCAGTGTACCACAGTGAGAGCTATTATCTGCTAATAGAGAACATAAAAATGACCAAGATTCAACATCGAACCCAAACTGTCCCTTTAGTTGAAAGGATATTTGTTTAGATTCTCTGAAACTGAAAAACCACCCAAGAACTAATTAGTCTCCATGGTGACAGATTCACTGTCCAGAGTGAAAGAAGACTAACATGTATTTTTTATATATATATATATATATATATATATATATATATATATATATATATATATATATATAATAGACACCTTTAAACTCAGTCAAAATTTCCTGCCTTCAACATGTCTGACGAGACAAAGAATCCACTTTCTGGCTCAAACGTATGTTTGAAAAGCATACATTTAGGTATCTTTGCAGACGTCAAGATGAGGCTTTCAACTCAAACATTTCTTCACAGCCAAAAGTACCATACTGCTAATATATGATAGTATCAAGCTGTTGGGCGGGAAAATGAAGGAAGGACAACTATCTCTAAAATTTTAACAATAACTTAGCAGCTAGGGGTCTGCAACATGCAGCTTTGCAGCCACAAGTGGCCCTTCAGACCCGCTACAATGGCTCTTAATAGTGGCAAATAATACAAGGAGCCAACAAACGCAGTACCAGCCTTCGCAGCTTTTACAATATATCTCAATTTAATTTAAACAACAGAATGACATTAAAAAAAGCTGACATATGCTTTTAGATTCATTTTTCTCGTCATTGTCTTCCTTTTGTTTTGTTTGTTTTTTTTATATCAAATAATATTCTATAAAAGGAAATTCATACTTCATCTTTATAAAATTATATTTTTTTTTAATTTTAGAAGCAAAAAAAACAAAAAAACAGTTGTTAGTTGTTTAAAGGGGCAACATATTTCCTAAAGT